ATCTCACCAACAGTGCACAAGTGCTCCAGATATTGCACAACCTCAATAAAATTTGTAACTTTCTGTCATCTTAAAAAATACTCATGCAAGCTGGGTGCTGGTGGCTCACGCCTGTAATTCTAACTACTCAGGAGGCTGAGATCTGAGGATCACAGTTCAACGCTAGCCCAGGCAGGAAAGTCCATGAGACTCTTATCTCCAATAAACTACTAGAAAACCGGAAGTGGTGCTGTGGCTCAAGTGGTAGAGTGCTTGCCTTGAGCTGAAGAGCACAGGGTTAGCATCCAAGCCCAGAGTTCAAGCCCCAAGTGCTGGTGGCTTACGCCTGTAATCCTAGCTACTGAAAATCACAGTTCAAAGTTAACCCAGGCAGGAAAGTCTGTGAGACTCTTATCTCCAATTAACCACCAGAAAACTGGAAGTGGCACTGTGGCTCAAGTTGTAGAGCACTCACTCTGAGCTGACAGTGCCCAGGCCCAGAGTTCAAGCCCCACGACTGACAAAAATAAATAAATAAATAAAACCAAAAAAAGAAAAAGAAAAAGAAAAGTCACTATCCTGCTTTATGACTTCTTGTTTCATATAAATTCGTATAAATTCATTTTGTCTTCTTAACCAGATTTCAGACTTGTTCAGAGTAGGGATCTTGTTCTGTGTGATTATTTTATTGCTAGAACTTGAGGTGGGTATACAATGAGCATCAGGATACTATACCCTGGATCAGAGTGTCTGTATTGTAATAGATAATGTCACTGTTGGCTGTTTTTTGGTTTAAAATACAGATATTGGGGCTAGAAAGATGGCTCAGTGGTAGAGCGCTTGCCTTGCATGCATGAGGCCCTGGGTTTGATTCCCCAGGACCACATAAGCAAAAAGAAAAAAGCTGAAGTGGCGCTGTGGCTCAAGTGGTAGAGCACTAGCCTTGAGCTGAAGAGCTGAGGGACAGTGCCCAGGCCCAGAGTTCAGGCCCCACAACCGCCCCAAAAAACATACAAACAAATAAAATACAGATATTGTGGTTATCCCACAGCTGCAAGGTCTATGTTTTGCAATACTATTCAGTGAAACCATAAGATCCTTGAAACTTAAAAACTAAACCAAAAACCAAAACTAACTTGAGAGGAAGCTCAGAAGAGGACCAGTTCAGAAACTGTGAGGAAATAGAACAAATACAAAGGTGCCAATACACACAGGTGATCTCACATCTGTTTTGTTGTAATCTCTACTTTATTTCTCCTAATTTTCTAGAGGACTTAGGCTGTCAATTTCCTATCCACTGCTGTGACTCTGATTCTAATTTTTAGACACCATATGGAAAAGTCCCTTCATTTGGTATTTTTAAAAATGAAACTATCACTAGGAATCTAAAAAAAGCACAAGTACAAAAGTGATGAAGCAATTAACTTTCTGAGAATGGATTATTTAGAACAGTCCCCTTAGGGTGGTTTGATTGGCATAGTGCTCTGAAGTGTCCATTCCCTTCCTTGATTCATTCATGTCTGGGAGCTCTGCTCATAGGTCTGCTTTGCAGCCCTGGCCTTTCCAACCACGGTTCTCCTCTGACCTGAATCTCAAAAGATAGGACTGGAGTACCAGTGCTGCTCCATAGAAGATGTGGTTAGGACTGGGAAGGTGGCTTAGTGGTAGAATGCTTGCCTAGCATGCATGAAGCCCTGGGTTTGATTTCTCAGTACCACATAAACAAAAAAGGCCAGAAGTGGTGCTGTGGCTCAAGTGGTATAGCATTAGCCTTGAGCACATGGGACAGTGCCCATGCCCTGAGTTCAAGCCCAGGACTAGAAAAAACAAAACATGTGGTTAAATTGGGCATTCCCAGGTGAAAAAAAATAAACCAACACTCCTCAATATGCATTGGCTCATTGGGAAAAGCTGATTTCCCTAAAACTTGTTATGCAATAAAATTCCCCTGAAGGCTATATTAAGAATCGGATACCTTGGGACTCATTCTGGAGCTGATGAGCTAGAATTTCCAAGGAGGTAAACTGAAAAGCTACAGCTTTTAAACTTTCACACTAGATAATTCTTTTTTTTTTTTTTGTCGGTCGTAGGGCTTGAACTCTGGGCCTGGGCACTGTCCCTCAGCTCTTCAGCTCAAGGCAAGCGCTCTACCACTTGAGCTACAGCGCCACTTCCGGTTTTCTGGTGGTTTATTGGAGGTAGGAGTCTCACGGTCTCTCCTGCCCGGGCTGGCTTTGAACCGCGATCCTCAGATCTCAGCCTCCTGAGTAGCTAGGATTACAGGCGTGAGCCACCAGCGCCTGGCCACACTAGATAATTCTTATCACCAGACAAGTCTAGGAAATGTAATATTGGTGGATATTTATTATTTTGGATGCCCGTGTCCCGCCTTCTCTCCTCAGGGAGGGGTAAAGAGGCAACGCTATGCTAGTGATGATAAATATAGACTTTTGGGGCTAAGGGGATAGTTCAGTGTTATAGTGTTTACCTACATTCAAGAAACCTTGGGTTTCATCCCTAGCTTTGCAAAACAAAATAAAACCCATAGGCTTTGAAGCAAGAAATCTGAGTTAGAACTGTGTTTCATCTTTAAAGAAAGGATAGTGCTACTCCCAGCAAAAATGGACCTAGCAGCCTGTGAGATGATTATTGACATTTTTTAGTCAAAGAGACAGTAAGAAGCTGTGTGACCTTGGCCAAGTCATGTAATCTCTCAGAGTCTCAGTTTCTTTTCTTTTCTTTTTTTTTTTTTGTCAGTCGTGGGGCTTGAACTCTGGGCTTGAGCACTGTCCCTCAGCTCTTCAGCTCAAGGCCAGCGCTCTACCACTTGAGCTACAGTACCACTTCCAGTTTTCTGATGGTTTATTGGAGGTAAGAGTCTCACGGACTTTAGTGCCCAGGCTGGCTGAGATCCTCGGACCTCAGCCTCCTGAGTAGGTAGGATTACATGTGTAAGCCACTGGCGCCCAGCATGAGTCTGAGTTTCTTATCCTTAAAGTAAGGATGATACTGCATTTCTTTACTGGGTATTAAATGAGACAATGCATACAGAACAGTTAGTCCAATGCCTATTAAACAAATGGATGCTTCATAAGTAGATGCTGTTGGTATTTTCCCAAAGAGGAGCCTTAGGGTCTCCTAGGGCAACTTATGATATACATTAGGTGAATAGCAGATTTTTTTTATAGGCATAAATTGTTTGTTTTATTGCTTTGTTGTTTCTTGATGCAGTTGTTTTTGAATTGTAGTAATAAGGTGGCCCAAACTTGACATTTATCAAATATCCAAATGGTAAAATTTGATTTGAATAGTAGATTTGAAAAAGGAAGACTGGAGCTGGGCACTGGTGGCTCATGCCTGTAATCCTGGCTACTCAGGAGGCTGAGATCTGAGGATTGCGGTTCAAAGCCAGCCCGGGCAGGAAAGACTGTGAGACTCCTATCTCCAATAAACCACCAGAAAACCAGAAGTGGTGCTGTAGCTCAAGTGGTAGAGCGCTCGGCTTGAGCTGAAGAGCTGAGGGACAGCACCCAGGCCCAGAGTTCAAGCCCCATGACCAACAAAAAAAAAAAGAAAGAAAAAAAAAAGAAAAAAGAAGACTGATGAAGATACTCCCAGAGATCCACACAGATATGTAAGACCCAATGACCACTTCTGTCTCTAGACTCAACAGACAAAACTGTGGTTGTCTGTATTAAACAAAAGGAAGAACATTTTGATCAGTTTAGCTTAAGCAGGGTAGGCAGGAACCAAAACAGACAGGATCCAGACAGCTGGTGCTATTCTGGGTGTCATCATGGGTTAGAAGTAGAAAGATTCCCCATTATAAGGACAAGCATTTCTCTCACTAAATGGACTACTGTCTTAGAGACAGTTCTCCTAACTCTGGAATCAACCAGATCTGGACAGTCTCAGCTCTACCATTTACCTACAGTGTGATCTTGGGGAAACTGCTTGAACCCTTAAGCCTTAGTTTTCTCATCCATAAAATGGTAACATGTGGGCTGGGAAGGTGGCTTAGTATGAGTGCTTGCCTTGCATGCATGAGGCCCTGGGCTCAATTCCTCAGCACCACATAAGCCAAAAAAGCTGGTAGTGGTGCTGTGGCTTAAGTGGTAGAGCGCTTGCCTTGAGCTGAAGATCTGAGGGACAGCACCCAGGCCCAGAGTTCAGGACTCACAACTGACCCAAAAAAAGATAACATGTGAGAATACATTATACAAATAAAAATTGGTTATTGCTAGCTATATTTTACATTATATAATATATATATATATATATATTTTTTTTTTTTTTGTCTGTTGTGGGTCTTGAACTCTGGGCCTGGGCACTGTCCCTCAGCTCTTCAGCTCAAGACAAGCAAGCACTCTATCACTTGAGCCACAGCACCACTTCCGGTTTTCTGGTGGCTAACTGGAGATAAGAGTCTCACAAGCTTTCCTACCTGGGCTGGCTTTGAACCTCAATCCTCATATCTCAGCTTCCTGAGTAGCTAGGATTACAGGTGTGAGCCACTGGCACCCAGCTTTATTTATAATATTTTTTGAGGAGTGTCTATGTTGCCCATGCTGATATCAAACTCCTGGGCTCAAATAATCCTCTCCCCTCAGCTTCTGTAATAGCTGAGAATATAGACGTGAACCACTGAAGTTTCATCATTATTATTATTACTACTTATTTTATTATTGTTATTATTATTACTATTATTATTATTGCCAGTTCTGGGTCTTGAACTCTGGGCCTCAGCACTGTCCCTAAATTCCTTTTTTTTTTTGGTTGGTCAATGGGTCTTGAATTCTGGGCCTGGGTGCTATCCCTGAGCTCTTCAGCTCAAGACGAGCTCAACCACTTGAGCTACAGCAGCACTTGCAGTTTTCTGGTGGTTAGTTGGAGCCAGGCTAGCTTTGAATCACTATCCTCAGATCTCAGCCTCCTCAGTAGCTAGGATTACAGGTTGCCATGGGCGCCCGCTCCTTTTTTTTTTTTTTGTCGATTATAGTACTTAACTCTGGGCCTTGGCACTGTGTCTGAGCTCTTCAGCTCAGGGCAAGTGCTCTATCACTTAAGCCACAGTGCCATTCTGGTGTTCTGGTGGTTAATTGGAGATAAGAGTCTCACAGACTTTCCTTGCCCAGGCTCATTTTTGAACTGTGATACTCAGATCTCAGCCTCCTGAATAGTTAGGATTATAGGTATGAGCCACCGGTGTCTGGCTCCTAAGTTCCTTTTGATTAAGGCTGGCACCCGGCTTTCATTATTTGTCTTTAACAAGGGATAGCTAATAAGATCTCTTTAGAGGAAGCAGACTTCCTTTTCTTTATCTCCTGCCACACTACCCACTATTAATGCCTGCAGAGTAAACAAGGAGTATCCTGTTCCTCTCACTCAAGCTGTGCCCCTACCCCTCCTCCCACACACATCTCCACGCATTAGCTACCCATGGCTTCTTCTAAAAGAAGGCTGACCTCTCCTTAGACTTGGTTGTTCTAAATGTTGCTCCAGAGGCACATCAAACTTTCTCAGGCACTGCTTGGGAGGAAAAAAGCACCTTCTGCAGGTTGGTAGGAAACAGGGAGAGGGTGGTCAGGAAGGGAGGAGTTGAGGATTCAGAATGGAAGGAGAGAGGGTGGAAATGTGTCACAAGGTTCCTCAAAAATCTGTGAGTTCTAAATATCATCATTTTCTGTGAATGAACTCCGGATGATTCATTTCCCTTCATTAGCCTCTATTTTACTTTCTGTTTAATGGAAAAGGAAGTGCCTACACTTGCTGTAAAGACAGAAAAGCATATAGAACCCACATACAGGTTCTAGCTTGAGAGAGTTATGAGTACATGAACATAAACATCACATGAGCTATGAATGTTACCTTGCTTTTCCTTCTGATCAGGAAATTTTAGTACTTTAGCTCCTAGCTGAGCAAATTTTGCTAAACATCATTGGTTTCTTGGCAGTTTTCAGCAAATCCACCAGTTTCTGGTTTTCCTTTTCAGCCCTTGCTTCTGGCCTCATCTTTTAGCTTCCACTAAAGAATCTAATGCAAATCCAATATGTCAACTTAAGCTCTAAATAGAAGTCCCTTGTGAGGGACACAGAATCCAGAGTTTTGGAAAGTTAACAAGCAAGTCTTTTTTTTTTTTTTTTTTGTCCGTCGTGGGGCTTGAACTCTAGGCTTGGGCACTATCCCTCAGCTCTTCAGCTCAAGGTGAGCGCTCTACCGCTTGAGCCACAGTGCCACTTCCAGTTTTCTAGTGGTTTATTGGAGATAAGAGTCTCATGAACTTTCCTTCCCGGGCTGACTTAGAACAGTGATCCTCAGATCTCAGCCTCCCGAACAGCCAAGATTACAGGTGTGAGCCACCGGTGCCTGGCTTAGCAACAGTCTTTTAAGATAGTAAGGTCTTGACTTGTATAGTAACTGTTTGAATTAGGAACAAAGAAAAATCTGGCCAAGGCTCAAGACATTTATGTAGATGTCTAAGCTGCTGGACTGGAGGAAGTGGGGCTATTAGGCCAGAGACTGTGAGGCCTGAAAGAGCAAGGAAGTTTTAGAGGGTCATATGTTGAATGGAGAGACTAACTTGGCCTGGGCTTTTAGTGTTACTGACAACACAGCATAACCTCAGGGTCTGGTCCCTGGGCTCTTTGCTTTCCATGAGTAAGGGAGTAAGTATGTGGCTTTCCTCCACCCCTTTCCAGGCCACTGGGGGCCTGGAGCTCCAGCACCTCCCCTATGGTGTTACAGCCCAGACATTGCTTTTGTTGCCTGACCAGCTTTACCTGTAGTACTAAACACACGGAGAGAAAGGGGTCCTCAGACTCAAAGAAGTCATGTGACCATTGTTGCCTGCCCCCTTCCCAGAACTGCTGTCTGTTTGCCCACATGCAAGAGGGAAGGAGGAGAGGTTCAGGTGGCACAGGGCCATAGACAAAGGGAGTGTGTGGGAGTCAGGGATGTGGGGATGAGCAGCCCAAGCAGCTGTCTATCGCAGCTGCCTAGTTGCTGGGAACTTCAGGCCAAGGACACAGTATCCCCACTTAACTGGAATCCAGAGATGGACTCCAGCATGACTTGGTCCTCTGGGCCAATATAGAAGGGAAAGCAGAAATTTAGTCTACACAGTTCATTTCTGGGTCTGAGGGTATCGCTTGGTGGTAGAGCACTTACTTAACATGTGTGAAACCCCGGGTTCAATCTTAATAAAGTTCACCCTTCTACCTGTAGGATATAGAATTGTGCTTGGAATATAATAGCCCCATCAAAAATACTTAATAAATCCAGGTATAGTCACTTGCACCTGTAATCCTAGTAACTAGGGATTGCAGTTTTAGGCTAGCTTCAGAAAAATATTAGTGATATATGATGGTCACTCTTGTAATCCCAGCCACATGGGAGGCATAGGTGGGCTGCTGTCTCAGAGATCCACCCAGGCCAACACATGAGATTTTATCTGAATAATAACAAAAAGGGGACAGAGAGGTGGTTCAAGTGATAGAGAATTTGCCTAGCAAGCACAAGACACATAGTTCCAACCTCAAACTACAAAACAAAAAACAAAAAACAAAAAACAAAAAAAAACCCAGCAGATGACTGAAAGCATAAATGAATACTTTAAAGGTAAGCATGATGTCATTCATTCTGCAAAACAAAGTAGGCCAGGTATTGCTTTATTTTGGGAGAATGGAAATCAAAAGAGCTTAGTGACTCTAAAACTAAACTTTAAGAGTTTAGTAAGATAACTCAACTTGGACATGGTCTTTCTATGGTATCATGCTGAATATTCTTCATATAGTAACCCATGTGACTCAGTGCGACCTTCCCTCTGGAGTCCACTGGTGTGAAAATAGCCTTTCAGGGACCAGTTTCCTGAACATGTCTCAAGGTCAAGTCTAAACATTGTTCCTCTCTGCACACTTGGCATTTGTCTTTTCTTTTATCAGAAGCTTCTGGAAAGGAGCCCCTCCATCAGTCTGTGTGGCCACATCTACTCAGGAGGTCTTTACCCTTGAGCCAAAGAGGTAGGAGTTGGTTGCTTCCTTCTTGAAGTCAAGAAAAGAAATGAAGTCATATGCATTCAGTTCCTTTTTCTCTCCCCTTCAACACAAAGCTCAGTTCCTGGATTTCAGGCAAGCAAGTAACTTGTATTACAGAGTGAGCATCTTTGAAAATCAGAATCCTAAACAATATTTGTGGAAGAAGATCTCCAAAGCCAGTAGGAGGGCTTGAGCTGAACATCTGAGCTGGAGCATCTTAGGTTGCCTGGATAAACATCTATGAGTCCTTTTACTAGTCTCCTTCACAGCATCCTGCCTCTTTCTAGGGACAGTGAGGTCTAGAACACAGTATAAGTATCAGAAGAACTGGATACTGGTGCTGATTAGCTCACTCATTGTCCATGGGAATGACAATTCCAGTAGGCATCACAATGGAGTTGTAAGTTTAAAGAGGAATGGTTTACTTCAAAGTGCCTTTAAGCATCAGACAGAAATACTACACAAAAAATAGTCATTACTATTTCATATGATGAGGAGGAGGAGGAGGAAGAGGAGGAGAAGCCTTCCAGAGTGCCCCCAAAGCTTTCAGTTCTCAAAGCTTTCTATTCATTGACTCATTCACAATAAAACCCCTACGTGAATAAGGCACATACCAAGTGCTGAGGGAGAGATAAGCTATCTACAAAGATAGGTTCTTTGCTTCCAAAGAACAAAGTCTTGTCACAGACTACACCAAAAGATGTTCAGAGATCTCAGAGTTCTGAAGATCAGCAAGAGGAAAGTTCTGTGATGAGTTAGAGGTACTAGGATTATTCACTCAGGTGAAAGGAAGGCAGGAAAAGAAGGAAGAGGAATGTCATACTGCATAGCGGTTTGTTTGTCCAGGAGGAAATGAGGTCACCCTGCTCTCAAAGAATCAGCATGACTGCCCCCAGCCAAGTAATTCGGAGTCATGAGGGCTGCTGGGATGGGGGGTAGGTAGGGCAGGGGGTGGGGGGGAGAATGTGAATCATGACAGCCTGTTGGGAATTTCCTAATAACTAGCCTAGGAGTTTCAGGGCAAGTCTTAAAGCTGTAACATCTCTGTTTACATTTTGATCACATTTATTTACAATTAATGGGTTCTCCGATCTAAACAAAACTGACCACTGTCTTGCAGAGGAAATAGCAAAGCTGACTTTGAGACCTATGGAACCTTTGACTCAGTGGTCCCTTGGCTATCTGGCAATTCCAAAGGATGTTGGCTCACCTGCTTCATGCTGGATGGTTAACTTGCACTTTGCCCACCCAGAGGATGTCATCCTAGGCCCTTTGGCTCAAGTGGAGCCTTTCTTGTTTCTACCTCCTAATCTTCTCCCTACTTTCCTTCTGTCACTCTAAAGTAATGACCTAGACCCAAATCCAGGGTTACAAGGTATAGGCAAGGAAAGGGACAAGGTTCCAGACCTTTGGAATTATCAGGACTCAGCCTCCTTTCTCCTATGAAGGAATCTAGTTCTTCTGGGTAGTATCAACATGATCCCAAACCCTTGACCCTGACACCATGGCCAAGAGATAGAGATGTCTGAACCCAGAGTCCTTTCTGTGCAACTTCACATGTGCCCAGGGTATGTGTGTGGGCTCACAAGTGTGTGTGGTTGTCCTCAGGAAGGGCAAGTGGTATCACTAGCACATGATCTGTCTTTCTGGAGTCCAGTAAACAATTGCTTTTAATCTTAATATAAATAATGCTCTGTGATGAAGTAGAATGCTAAATACAGCTGCATTTAAAAATGTGTAATTATCTTTTTTAGAATGGATGATACAGAGATGTGTCTTTAAATTTCTGAAACAGTATAAAAGGGCATGTAGTGGAAAATAAGTCTTATCTTCTCCTTCAGCCTCCCTCCCCTTTCTTCTACTGGGGACAGAGTGCTGAACTTCCTAACTCTCCACAGTTTTCAGCCCACCTACATTAATAAAGTTTTAAGACAAGTGCTGGTGGCTCACACATGTAATATTAGCTACTCAGGAGGCTAAGATCTGAAGACCATGGTTTGAAGCCAGCCTAGGCAGGGAAGTCTGTGAGGCTCTTCTCTCCAATTAACCAGCAAAGAGCTGGAAGGGGAATTGTGGCTCAAGTGGCAGAGCACCAGCTTTGAGCAAAAAAGTTATTGGACAGTATCGAGGCCCTAAGTTCAAGCCCCAGTACCTCCCCTCCCCACCCTGCCCCCAAGACTGACCTTTTTTTTAATTAAATTTTTTTTTTCTTTTTGCCGGTCCTGGGGCTTGAATTTAAGACCTGGGCACTGTTCCTGAGCTTCTTTTGCTCAAGGCTAGCATTCTACCACTTGAGCCACAGCACTACTACTGACTTTTTCTGTTTATGTGGTACTGAGGAATGGAACCCAGGGTTTTATGCATGCTAGACAAGCACTCTACCACTAGGCTACATTCTCAGCCCAAGACTGGCCTTAAACCCAACAGCAAACCTCAGTCAAGTCCGACCTTGCCTTCCGTCCTCTGATAACATACAGTAAACTCGTCTTTCTCTCCTGTCTCCATTGGTCATGCTTGTGATTTGGGGGACCCCACCACTCGAGTAAAGGCAGCCTGTTTCAGGAAACGAATGAATGTTGCGTTCATTTTCGAGTCGGTAGACGATAGGAGATGCGGCGATGACGCTGCAAGGGTCTGAAATCCCTCTCATGGCAGGTGGGGCGCGGGTGAGGGTGACAGGTTGGAGAACTGGAGTGGTTGAGTCCGGAGGAGAGTGCGCAACCTCCTTCCAACTGCGGGGGAGTGCGAGGGGGAGAAGGCAGGGCAGAAAGCTGCTTTGAGGCCTGCACCTAGACCCGGTGAACGAAAAGAAAGGCCAAGAATTTCTATGTCTTCCGATGCCTCCGTGGGTCTCCCTGGCTTGGGCTCGAGTGGCGCCCACTCAGGGTCAAAGCGGAGGAAGCCAGCGCGGCCAGGTCCCTGCGGGCCCCAAGGAAGAGCCGGGGGAAGGAGTGGGGCGGTGACCGGAGCGGGGCGGAGCCAGCCCGGGGCGGGTCCTCTTAAACGGCCGGCGCCGCCCGCCAGCCTCGCTGAGCTGAGTGGAGCCCCGCAGCGCAACTCGGTCGGTCGTGTTAACCTGGTCCCCGCGGTCCCCGCAGTGCCCGCCCCAACCCATCCGCCGCAGCCCTCGGTGAGTGCGGCGGCGCGTGGCGGGAGGCGCGGTGCTTCCCTTCCTCCTACCTTGGGCTGCCCTGGCTGCTGCTCAAAGGCTGTAGCCTTAGAATCGCCGATCCTGTCCCTTGCATCCTCCTGCGCTGCGAGCCGGGAGCCCCTGCAGAAAGAGGAGAGACCACCGAGCCTGGAGAGCTTGGTCCCCTCCAGCTTCCCCCAAGAAACACGCCCCCTGCCCCTCCTGGCCCCTCCGCTTCTTGCTTCTTGCCTTGACTTTTCCTTCTTTTGCAGTGCCGCTGTCTAGAGCCCAACCTCGTCACCATGAGAGTCCTGCTGGCGTCCCTCTTCCTCTGCACCCTGGCCGTGAGCAACTCTAAAGTAAGTGGGTTCCCTGTTTGATTTTGAAGGAGGGGACTCGCAGGACTCCTGAACAGCTCCCAGGGCAGGGAGGGGCTGCATGGGGAGCTGGAGTCCTCCGGACAGCATCAATAGGGGGACTTGAAAGCCGAGGGGGTTTGTATGGTTGGGTAAGCGGAAGAAGCATAGGGATGGTTCTAGCCTCAGGGCACCTGGTACCCGAAGCTTACTTGAGACAATCCATTTCTCCCTGCTGGGAATCTAGGACTATCCGTTGTAGGGCTAGTTAGTGAAGAATGGGTTTTTAGGCTGGGGGTCAGTTTATCCTTACCGTGGAGTCCTAGGAACATGGAACCCTTGGTGACACCTCCCCACATCTCTTTCAGGGCAGCCATGAACTTCTACAGTCGGATCCATGTGAGTATTCATTCCTTGCACAATAGTTGGCTGCACAGACATGCTGGAGAGCCTCAGGAGACAGCCCATTCCTGATTTTGCTTCTGGACTGGCTCTCTACTTGCCTTCTTCCCCTTCCTCATCCCACACCTTTGTGCCCTGCAGCAAACTGTGGCTGTCTGAATGGAGGAACATGTGTGTCCTACAAGTACTTCTCCAATATTCGGCGATGCAGCTGCCCAAAGAAATTCCAAGGGAAACATTGTGAGATAGGTATGAAGATCACAACTCTAACTGGGAAAGAGTGGCCCCAGAGATTTCAGGGCAGGAGAGAATGATGGGATACAAGAGCATACAAGGATAGAAGAGCATGGTAGTAGGTACCTGTAATCTCAGCAGGAAAATTGTGTGTGTGAGACTAACTTGAACTACACAGGGTAACCCTATCTAAAGGGAGAGAGAAAAAGAGAGAGACAGACACAGAGAGAGAGAGAGACAGAGAGAGAGAGAAAGAGAGGGAACACATGGAGGCAGAAGTTAGGAGCTCAAGGAAGGGTGGGTGACATCTTTACCCCTACATGATCTGTATGGTCTCTCACACACAGTTTCATGAAGCAGTGACTGCATAAATATGAGGTACAGATAAGAAGACACTTTCCAGTGTTATCTCTGCCAGAACAAAACCACATCATCTCTGATGTGTCCTCCATCTGAATGTCCTCTAATATCTTCTCATCTTCATATCTTTTTAGATACGTCAAAAACCTGCTATGAGGGGAATGGTCACTCTTACCGAGGAAAAGCCAACACTGACATCAAAGGCAGACCCTGTCTGGACTGGAATTCACCTGCTGTCCTTGGGAAAACATACAATGCTCACAGATCCGATGCTACTCTCCTGGGCCTGGGAAAACACAATTATTGCAGGTAAGATGGAGACCAAATACCAGGAGCTGTCCCTTTGGCCTTTCAGAAACTATTGTTACATCATCTGCTCCTAGAGTGCTAGAATAACATGAAAAGAGTCAGGCATCTGGTTGAGCCTTTCATTCAGGGAGAGATGCAGGATTGGAAGATGCAGGGTTGGAATGACATCCACGGTTGTCCTGTGTTTTACCAGGAACCCAGACAACCAAGGGCAGCCATGGTGCTATGTGCAGATTGGCCGACTGCAGTTTGTCCGTGAGTGTATGGTGTCCCGCTGCTCTGTAGGTAAGTGTTACTGACTGCTTAGAACAGCGGGGTATAACACGAGGCAAACTTATATGCTCCCGTCTTCCATCATAGGAAGTATAACTGAGTGGGATACTTTATCTTTCCTGCCTCTCCAAGATATCCTTGTTTTTGTCTTACTCCTCCAGAACAAGAGTTCCAGTGTGGCCAGAAGGCTGTGAGGCCCCGCTTTAAAATTGTTGGGGGAGAGTTCACCAACATTGAGAATCAGCCCTGGTTTGCGGCCATCTACAGGAAGCACCAGGGAGGCTCTGTCACCTATGTGTGTGGTGGCAGCCTCATCAGCCCTTGCTGGGTGGTCAGTGCCACACACTGTTTCATGTATGTCCATTTCTTCTCTCTAGCCTTTCTGCCCCAGCCCCAAATTCCAGGATTCTCCCTCATAGCCTCTCTCCAAGGCCGGGGGGGGGGGGGGGGGGGGAGGAGGGGAGGGGGCTTGGAGGCAATGATACTTTTCAGCCCTCTATAATGGGAAGGAAGAAGTGATAGGATTCTGGGAGAGCAGACTATCTGACAGATCTCATCTCCCACAGTAATTACCCACAGAAGGAAGACTATATTGTCTACCTTGGTCGATCAACACTGAACTCCATTACTCCTGGAGAAATGAAGTTTGAGGTAGAGAGACTCATCTTACACGAGGAGTATAGTGCTGACAGCCTGGCCCACCACAATGATATTGGTGAGTGAAAACCCTCAACCACCATATTGATGGTGGTCAGGAAAAGAGGAGTCCAGGAATTGACCCAAGGGGGAGGTGGAATTGTAAGGGAACTTACCTGCCTTGTACAGCAAAGGGAATGGCGGGGAAGAATTCAGCGTGAAATATATGTGAGGCCTGGTGCTCCTTTGTAGAGACCTTGAATTTCCCAAACATAAAGCCTTATGGGCATATGGCTTGAACTAGGAATGGCTTGTTTGGGCAAATTAGGATGGATGCATCTTCGGTCTACACTAGGATACAGAATTTGAAGAAAAGTGCCTTGGATGGGTTTTAGCTTAGCTTTCTCAGCGTTTTTCTTTTTGCACAAAACTGATTGGCTTAATGTGGCAACCCTGGCTGCTTAAGTCTTCAGCAGCAGCGAGAGCAAAGTCCTTAGAACATTGAGCAGGGAAGGTTTCCAGATAACAAGTTACCAAAATATCTTTCTGGATGACATATGACCCTAATAGACCTAGGAACAGACAATACCGCACTTCCTCAACATTTAGAAAGATTACTACTGGGTAATCTTTCCCTTCTGACCCTCTTTATTTTCTCTAGCCTTGTTGAAGATTCGTTCAAGTACATACCAGTGTGCAAAACCATCCCGTTCCATACAGACCATCTGCCTGCCCCCAAGGGTTGACAATGCCCATTTTGGCACAAGTTGTGAGATCACTGGCTTTGGAAAAGAAAGTTCCAGTAAGTGACAATTGTAGAATTGTGATGTGAGAGTGAGTGCAGTAGCGCATGAAGGAAAGCCTGGAAAGAGATGGAAGTACTATGGAGGTGGCATATGGCTCCTGAGATAGAGCAGGGAGTATTGTTTAGGGAGTGATGGGCTAGGCTACCAAGGGAAATAGTGGGTGATCGACTATGGAAGGGATAAAGACTCATAGGGAAAAAAATAAGGGCTTTTGCTAACAGTAATACATTTTGGTTCCCCTCCCTGACAGAGAGGCACCAGACACCTCTTAATGTGAACTCCTTGTTTTCTTCATCTAGCTGACTATCGTTATCCAGAGCATTTGAAAATGACGGTTGTAAAGCTAGTTTCCCACAAGGAGTGTCAGCAGCCCCACTACTATGGCTCTGAAGTCACCACCAAAATGCTGTGTGCTGCTGATCCACAATGGGAAACAGATTCTTGCCAGGTGAGAATCAACTATCTCTCTCCAAATTTTCCCAGAGCTCTTGGGCCTGACCCTGCTAACTTTGAGGAGTCCCTTTTAGCCAAAACTCTAGGAAGTCAGAATCAAGAGCTCAAGTCTGCTGGGCACTGGTGGCTCATGCCTGTAATCCTAGCTACTCAGGAGGCTGAGATCAGAGGATCGAGGTTCAAAGCCGCCCCAGGCAGGAAAGTCCATGAAACTCTTATCTCCAATAAACCACCAGAAAACTGGAAGTGGCGCTGTAGCTCAAGTGGTAGAGCACTAGCCTTGAGCTGAAGAGCTGAAGGACAGTGCTCAGGCCCAGAGTTCAAGCCCCATGACCGACAAAAAAAAAATAAAAATTAAAAAAGAGCTCAGGTCTTTGAGGATTTACACAAATGTTTATGTGTTCCCCCATACATGTGGCCTGAGCTTGACTGTGTGCTAGGCACTGCAGATCAGGGTGACTAAGAGGACTTTAAGAAAAAAGGAGATGGGGCTGGGAAGGTGGCTCAGTGGTAGAGTGCTTGCCTTGCATGCCTGAGGCCCTGGGTTCGATTCCCCAGCACCACATAAGCAAAAAGTAAAAAGCCGGAAGTGGAGCTATGGCTCAAGTGGTAGAACGCTAGCCTTGAGCTGAAGAGCTGAGGGACAGCGCCCAGGCCCAGAGTTCAGGCCCCACGACCGGACCCAAAAAAAAAGAAAAGAAAAAAGGAGATAATGCAATGAAATATAACTTAATGCCTAGGATTCATGGAATGTGAATTATAAACAATCAGGTGAGGCTGGAAGTGATAGAGCACTGGAAGTGATAAGCTAGAGGCCCTGGGTTTAATCCCAGTACTACTATACACAAAAATGTATAATTAGCCAGGCACTAATGGTTAATGCCTGTTATCCTAGATATTCAGGAGACTGAGATGTGAGGATCATGGTTTGAAGCCAGCCTAGGCAGGAAAGGCTATGACACTCTTTTCTCCAGTTAACCATCAAAAACCTGGAAGTGGAACTGGAACTTAAATGATAGAGTACTAACCTTGAGCATAAAAGCTCAGGGATAGTGCTCTGGTCCTGATTTCAAGCCCCAGGAGCAGTGCCTCCCCTCCCCCAAATTAAAAATCTGATGTTTAGGAGAGGGAAGGGAAGCGTTAAATACAATGTGATATGATAAGTATTTAAAGAGATGGAGGGGCTAGACTTGATGCTGTGTGCCTATAAGCCAAGATACTTGTGATAATAATGAAGAAGGATCTGTAGTTTGAGGCCAGCCTAGGCTATTAGCAATACTCTGTTTCAAAACACAATATATATCTATATATCTATATATATCTAAAGGAGGTAGATGTAGAGATGGTATTTCAATGGAAAGATACAAAATTGAGACTGAACATGGTATATGCTAGAGGAGGAGCTTGGCAGATAATTAGTAGAAATGCCAAACAGAGGACTAATATAAAACTTTGATGCTGGGCTGGGAAAGTGGCTCAGTGGTAGAGTATTTGCCTTGCATGCATGAGGCCCTGGGTTTGATTCTTCAGCAGAACATAAGCAGGAAAAAAAAAGCTGGAAGTGGTGCTGTGGCTCAAGTGGTAGAGCGCTAGCCTTGAGCTGAAGAGCTGAGGGACAGTGCCCAAGCCCTGAGTTCAAAACCTACAATTGACAAAAAAAACCAACAAACAATAACAACAAACTTTCACGCAGTAGAAAACTAATCAAGGGAGTGACCCATGTCTTTGGCTCTAGTAACTGTCCCCAAGCTCTCTCAGGCATGGTTAGGTGGTGGGATCAAAAGGTCCAGGGCTCTTATCATATCTTTGGCTTATCAGGGAGACTCTGGAGGACCCCTTGTTTGCTCCACCAATGACCGCATGACCCTGACTGGGATTGTGAGCTGGGGCCGAGGATGTGCCTTGAAGGACAAGCCAGGCGTCTACACGAGGGTCTCACACTTCCTGAACTGGATCTACACCCACATTGGGGGTGAAAATGGCCTAGCCCTTTGAGCACCTCAAGGGAACAATGGGCGGACAACTGCCATGCTGACTGTCATCTCTGCAGCAGGGTCATCTCCATCAGCTCTAGGGAAGAGGCTGGGTGAGACAGGCTCTGCGGAGATGGTTTGCTTAGGATGCCCACCAGGGTAAGCGATAATAGTTTTACCCTCAGTCATGGGCCTGTGCTGGACACCCAGACCCTCCTGGCTGGGATGGAGAGGTGGTCCTGACTTAGGATGGTTTTGATCAGTTATGTCTTCTTCTGGACTAGAGCCTCCTGGAGTTCAAAATGGTGTCTCCTGTGGATGGGTGAGAGGAGAGTTAGTTCCCCCAACAGAGTCATTCATGAAGCCTGCTCTTGGGAAATGAATAATTTCCCAATTAGGAAGTGTAACAGCTTAGGTCTCTTCAGGGAGCTTGGCCAATGTGAGAACCATGTTTAGGGGGTAGAGACGCTAATCATTTGAGGGAGGGGCTCTGACATTCTACAAATGGATTGGGAAATATCATTTATGTTTGTGTACTTGGGCGCTGGCTATGAGTGTGAGCAAGTAAAAGAAGTAGAGCTGGTATGTTCCTGTGCCCAACTACAAGTCTAAACAGTTCCCTAAAACTGTGGACTGTGATGACACAGAGTGGTTTAACTGGAGATGTTATGGGTCACTACTGGGGCCTTTTAGATCTCCCATGTTATACTTTCTGTGATTGTAGCATTTTCAAGCATGTCCTGTGACCAGCACTAAATGTCTGTTTCACTTTTATGTAGTTATCACTTTCTTGGCCAGTTAAACCTTCTGACTTATTAGCCAATTTTGTCCAATCCTCACTGGATGGGGTGATGACGACTCTTGTATACTGAATATTTAATAATTATATTCTGCTATTTTTATTTATATCTATTTTTATAATTATAAATAAGGGTGATTCATAAAATGTGATTTTTTTCCCTAAGGATTTTGGCTTTTCCCTTGTGCTTGTATTAAAGGGAGGTGGGGAGTATAAAAAGAAGAAAATGATACATCCTAGTTTCTTGTCAGCCTTAGGCAGAACCTTCATGGGCAAAAACACTTGCATGAGTGAAACACTGCTGACTCCAAATGCCATTGAGAATCTGTGGCATTGAGGGAACAGAAAACATAATTTTTCTTCATCTTTATGAAGCTGTTGCATTTTCTCAGTATAAGGTTTTGAGAGAGCAAAATTTGGAGAATTGTAGGGCAGGGCTTCCTTAGCAGGTAAGGGTACAAAATAACTCAGGGCCTCCCAGCTTTGCAAATTGCAGACAGGCTGAGTTTCAGCTTCCAATTACCTCCTCAACCTTATGCCTTCTTCAGTGTATATCTTGTGCAAATGCTCCCCACCTCCCCCTAGTCCTGGGTCCTGAACTCTAGGCCTGGGTGCTGTTCCTCAGCTCTTCAGCTCAAGGCTAGTACTCTACCACTTGATCCACAGCACCACTTCTGGCTTTTTCTGCTTATGTCGTGCTGAAGAATCGAACCAGGGCCTCATGCATTTAAGGCAAGCACTCTACCACTGAGCCACCTTCCCAGTGTGCCCCCCCCCTCCCCTTTTTTTTGTCAGTCATCAGGCTTGAATTCAGGGCCTGGGCACTGTCCCTGAGCTTTTCTGCTCAGTGCTAGTGCTTTGGTAATTTAAGCCACCGCTCCACTTCTGGTTTTCTGATAGTTAATTGGAGATAAGAATCTGGGGGGGAAGGTGGCAGTTGGTGGGGGTGGTATGGGAGATGAGAGGGCAGGGATGATAAGGGGAAACAAAGGAGGAGGCAACAATGCTTGACAAGAAATGTACTCATTTCCTTGTTCATGTAATTGTAACCCCTCTGTACAGTATTTTCACAATAAAAAAATTAGTTGAAAAAAAAAAAGTCTCAGCAACTTTCCTGCCTGAGCTGGCTTTGAACCTCAATCCTTGCATCTCAGTATCCTGAGTAGCTAGGATTACAGGCATGAGCCACTAGTTGCCTGGTTAGTGTTCTTTAAAATTAAATGGATCCTATTTTCTTCACTCTGACACCCAAAATCCTTAGGTTGACCTCAACCAAGAAGAAACTTGCATGAGTAAAAATTGTTGATTCAAAGAACCGACCCAAGTCTGTGACCTTCAGGGAAAGGAAAACATTTATATGTGCAGCTGGTACTGAGTTTTTTCACTGAGCTAATGAAGCTCAGGCCAACCATTGCTATCCCTAAAATCAAAGAGCTTGAGACCAGGCGCCAGTGGCTCATGCCTGAAATCCTAGCTACTCAGGAGGCTGAGATCTGAGGATTGTGGTTCAAAGCCAGCCCGGGCGGGAAAGTCCATGAGACTCTTATCTCCAATATACCACTAGAAAACCAGAAGTGGCCCTGTGGCTCACGCGGTAGAGCGCTCGCCTTGAGCTGAAGAGCTGAGGGACAGTGCCCAGGCCCCATGACTGACAAAAAAAAGAAACAAAAAACAAAACCCAAAAAACAAAACAAAAATAAAAAAACAAAGGGCTTGGAAATTAAAGCTAGATAATGTCCTAATAGGGATAATCATACATTTTGAGCCATATAATCAGATTCTGAAGGACTGGGAAGTTGAAGGCAAGGTGGGAGGTATAAACAGATGCCAAAATACTGGAATTTCCACCATATTTATGGGTTTTGGCAGTGTTTCATATATATATATATATATATATATATATATATATATATATATATATACACACACACATGCCTCACCTGTAGAGATTATGATTCAGGTCAGGGTTGATGCCAGAGATTATGATTCAGGTCAGGGCTGGTGCCAGGGCTCGTGATTTTAGGAAAGCTCACCAGGCGTTTCAGATATGCACCACTGAAGTCAGGGTCAATTGGTTAGAACATATGAAGGACATAGAGAGTTCAAGTATAGTCAGCATGATCTCTCTGCAGAAATAGCCAGTTTTCTGAGTGGGGTCTTAGGAGTACAAGGTTTCCCACTCTGTGAAACCCTGGAGGTAAAAACCCTAGAATACTGAGCCTTTAATCCCCATAATCTAACATGGCTTTATTATTATTTTCACATGGGGTGTGCTGTGAGTGATTCAGCATGGATTTTGGAGTCAGGTGGCTTCAACTGGAATCCTGGTTTTAATATTGTGTGGGTTGGAAAAGAATATCAGCCTTGGGGCTGGAAAGGTGGCTCAGTGGTAGAATGCTTGCCTTGCATGCATGAGACCCTGGGTTCAATTCCTCAGTACCACATAAGCAGAAAAGTGGTAGAGCGCTAACCTTGAGCTAAAGGGCTGAGGGACAGTACCCAGGCCCAGAGCTCAGGCCCCACTACTGACCGAAAAAGAAAAAAGAATATCAGCGTCTCTATGCCTCAGTTTTCTAAATTATTTTTTTTTTAAGGATAAAAAGGCTGGTTGTGATGATACATCTGTAACCTCAGGTACTCAGGAAGCAGAAATCAGGAGGATCATAATTCAAAGGTTGTTAAAAGGATTTATGGCACATAATAAAAGCACCCAAACTGTAGCTACTAAGTACCTCCTCTAACTTCCTATAGACTTGAGTGGGAATTCCTCTCCCATCCGAGGGTGGCACTGAGCATTCTGTAAGAGTGGAAACTTGCTAAGAAAGAAAAAAGCACAATTATCTGAAAGTAAAGTGCCCAACCCAGTCTGAGTTGCTGCTCAGCTTCTGCACTCCCTGCCAGGGGCCAAAAAAAATCTTGTTCAAACTTGAGCAGCTCCAGCATCAGAGCTCCCAGACACTGAAAGAAGGAAGTATGAGCCCCACTGGTTCGTTGAGCAACAAGGCTGCTAACTCTTCAAACCATTTCCCAGTCACCATTTTCAGCAGCTCCTCCCCGCCCCAGCCAGCTGCTATCTCTTCCCTACATCTTAGGGCACGCACCCAACCATATCTCCAACAACTTGTTTCAGAGCTCTAAATTCTTAGAGAATTCATACTTTAGAGACTGCCTTATTCTAGTGTTCTGATAGCAATGTGCTAAGATCTTCACACAGAATCTGCTGTACTATTCTTAGTCTCATCTCAAGGGAGAAAACAGAAGCACAGCAAGATTGGGGGACCCACATGAGGTAACACTGCTGCAGCTGCAGAGCTAGGGTTTGAGCCCACAGACCACTTTCCCAGTACAATGATATTTCACCTAGCAGAAGGGCTCAGACATAGAGAAAGAAAGCAGACTTCTTTTCAAGCTCCCTACTTGAAGGATGCTCATTTAGGTGATCATTCTTTTCTCCTAAAATGATTTCCAGTCCATGTGAGGACACCACACTTAAACACCAGTTTTAAAGTACTTCACTTTTGTTAAGACAACCTCAGCCTTTTCTGCTGAAATCTGGTTTCATTGAAGTGGTTTCCGTTTTCACCAGAATTCTTTCTTCTGAAATATTCTGTGGCCCATTCTACTACCAGAACTCAACTTGATTTCTCTTTTTTTGCATCTTTCCCAAGTCAGCACCTCACAACCACCACACCCCTGCACACTCATTTCCATTGAGTCCACCTTCCTCCTCAGCAGGAAACATCTGAGTTCTCCCTTGAGTCAGACACAATGAGAGTGGTTGCTATTTTCTAAATTTGTTCTATTGAGATATAATTCAGATACTATATAATTCACCTATTTAAAGCACACAGCTCCATTGGTTTTTAGTATATGCACACTCAGACAACATCACAACCAATTTAGAACATTTTCATCATCTGAAAGAGATCCTAAACCCATGAGCAAGCATCCCTTTTCCTCCCTAGCCCCCTAAGCGCTAAGCAGCCTCTTATCTACTTTCTGTCTCTGTGGGTTTGCCAATTATAGACATTTCATATAACATTTAACATCATGATTTTCAAGTTTTATCCATGTTGTAGCATGTATCAGTATGATTGCTGGATTCTAAATAACAAAGTGGGGAGAAAAGACGGTCTAGGTTCCTTTTGACCTTGCAGCAGTTACAATGAGAATCAACCAACAATCCTCTCTCCACTTTTCCTCCTCCTTCCCCTTCCCTCCCTTCTTCCCTCCTTCTTTCCTTCATTTCCTCCTTCTTTCCTTCCTTCCTTCTTTCCTTCCTTCCTCTTTCCTTTTAAAGTACCTACATTCCAGGCTTTCTTTTAAAGATACCTGACATTATAAGAACAGATGACTCATTCTTAGTCCACAAAGAGTTCTTAACTTTACAAAGGAAACAGAATCATGATTATAATCCAATGAGGTAAGCACTAAAATAAAAATATACATTAAAATAATGATGAGGATGCTTTTTTTTTTCTGCCTTGGGAAGTGAAGAAAAACCTTATAGAAGAGATGATATTTCACTTAGGCCTTAAATATGCATGGAATTTGCTGAGGAAAGGCATTCTAGGCACAGGAGAAACAATGGCAGCATGAAAAGGCAGGACATCCCCAGAAATGCTGTCAGGATAGAGAAAAGAGTCTAGGAGCATGGAAAGTCAAAGAATGGTGGAGGAAGATGCTGGTAGGGGAAGGGCCTCATATTCAACAGCAGGAACATAGTTTCTGTCCTAAAGTCCCCTCCAGTGGCTCACTGCCATCCAACCTTTCTCCTATCTTTCCGATCTAGCAGCTATAGGCTTAGTGCCTGGCACAGCATGGGCCTCACAGGGCCTTCCCTCCTCCATCTGTCCATCAAAGTGTTGGCACTGGGAAGGAAGTCTTGCTAGTTAAACATTTTGAATATTCCCTCTTTGCCTTTAGGTGTTATTTTTCAAAATTGAGAAAGTTAATTAAGGTCAAGAAGCCACTAAAATCTTAAGTAAAACTAAAAATCTCCACCTCCTAAATTATAAGGATGGCCATAAAAACAAAATACTCTCCATAGCATTCATAGCCAATAATCTCATAGCATTCTGGCTTTGAGAGTTTCCTTTTCAATCTCAGGGTCCAATACTTGGCTTGCCCCAAAGACTGATACTAAACCTTTTCTTCTACCTCACCCCTAAACTTTCTCTGAGAAAATCACATTCACATTCAGGCTTTAATTATAGCCAACCGATGAGTCACAAATGCTTATCAACAGATTTCTCCTCTGACTCTTCTTTCATATTTTCTATTGTCTACTTGGTGTCTTAATTGGTTGTTACACTCAGGGTACCTCAAAGTCAACCTGTCTGAGATTGTTCTTGTTCTTAGATTTCTTCCATCCCTCTCTAGCTGGAATGATGGCCCTAACATTCATTCAATTATTCCAACCAGAAGTCTAGAAGTCATTCTAGTGCTCTATGCTCTCAGCCCTTTTAGCCTATCCATTGCCAAATTCTACCTAGGAAAATTTGGCTAAGGAAGGCATTCTTTCTCTTCATGTCTACCACGATTAGTTCTGCTCAACCCACTCTCAGTTTTTGCCTGGATGACTGAAATAACTTCCCATCTGTTTTCCCCAATTGATTTTATCTTTCCTTCCACTCCCTCCTACACTTCTACCA